ATGACCATTGTGATCACGAGACCTGCAAACGACTTTTTTTGAGAAAGAAACGCCTCCGGTGCGCTTTGCTTCATGCTCTACCCCTTGGATTGCAATCATAAGCACCTCCTTCTTGTCGCCACACTCGGGAGACAAGTGTCGCAGTCTCGTGTCTTTCAAGCTTGACTAACATCAGCGCACAAGGACCGATGTTTTAAGTTGCTTTCCCAACTGATCAAGCGAAGCACAGACTTCAAGTTTCCAGCAGCACGTATTGGCAGGTCGAGAGAAACAGGTTGAATGGGAGCAATACCTACCTGCCAATCCCACTTCTCAGCAGTTTCTGTCTCATGATTGCCGGACCATGGAACGGCCGCTGCCTAAGACGTCCTCGAGTCGCATGGCTATGAGCTTGAGCGCCATGTTTTTCCCAGCGGAGCGTTGGAGCGAGGTTCAATTCAGCAGTTTTATGCGTCAGCGGCGCAACAGTCGCCGCTGAAAAGCCTGGCCCACAGCTCTAGTTCGCTCCGCTTGGGTGGATAGCTCGTCTTCTTTTTGGGTTGGACGCCTCCAAAATGGCTTCGGTTTTCGTTTTGATTTGCCTTCAACCCCCGCCACCAAGAAGAAACAGAGCAAAGACAAGAACGGGTACCCCCAACAAAGGTCAGACCCATTTGGAAACAAATGCAAACAGCCCCGCTCTCGGAAGTGACATGGTTGGAATCTCGTGTCTTGCCGCAGAAATTGTTGTGCTCAAGCATTTCCCGTCCGGAAATCCATGGCGCAGGAAGCCTTTGAACTGCGCGAGTATCAGCAAATCTCGGTGGACCAAGCTATCAGGGAGAATTTGATTGTGAACTTGCCGACCGGCAAGGGTAAGACTTTGATCGCTGTTAAGGTGATCGATCATTTCTTGCGCACAAAGAAGCATGTGGTCTTCGTAGTGCCGACAAAGGCGCTAGTCGAGCAACAGGCCAAGTACTGCGAAAGTCACTGCGAATGTAAGCCTCAGGTGGATAAGCTGAGTGGCATGGAAATGGATCAATGGGACGAGATTAAATGGGAGCAATGCCTCAAAAAGCACCAGGTGCTTGTTGGAACGGCCGAAATTTTTCGGCGGGCCCTGGACAAAGGCTACTTGAAAGCTGCCTCTCTCTCCTTGGTGGTCTTTGATGAATGCCACAATGCCACGGGCAAGAGTCCCATGGCCAGAATCATGCTTGACTTCATGCACAGGCTGCCTCACGCGGAGCGCCCGCGCATTCTGGGGCTCACAGCCAGCTACCACTTTGGTGCGGCCAAGAACATGTCGGATTTCAAGAAGGGCAGGCTGAACCTCGAACGACTGCTGCTTGCGTCCATGTTCAGCCCCCAGGTCGAAGACTCTGGGAAACACTGGAGTCCGGTGATGTGGACGCCCTCGGATTTCGCGAAAGACTTTAAGAAGGCCGTGCTTCCAACGCTTTTGCACGCCGCAGAGACCTTGGGGGACGCTGCGGAGGTCAAGGACTTCCAAAAGCTTTGCAATCGCATGCATCACGTCTTCGAGCAGCTGGGGCGAGAGGGACTGATGGATTACCTGCAGAAGTGCGTGCTTTCGGAGTTGGAGAGACAGTGGCAAGAATTGGTACAGCTGCAAGACGTGCCTGCTGAGAGCCGCCAATGTGCCCAGAGCCTGTTGGAGAAGCTCCCGCAGGTGAGGCAGATTCTGGAGCAACTCGAGCCTTGGCTCAAGGACTTGGTGAAAGCTGCACCTGTTGCATCGCCCAAGCTGGTTGCCTTGCACGACTTGCTGCAGAAGGAGCCCTTGAAGACTGGCAAAGGCATCATCTTCGTGGAGCAGGTGGCGGTGACGGTGCCTCTGGCCCTCAACCTGACGCGGCACGTGCAGCGCGCGGTGGAGGGGATCTACGGCGGCATGACGAAGAAGGACCAGGAGGGCATCGTGCAGCGCCTGCGCAGCGGGCGCACAGAGATCCTGGTGTCCACGGCGGCGTTGGAGGAGGGTATCGACGTGTGCGACTGCAACTGGATCGTGCGCTACGACAAGTTCGGCACCTGCAAGAGCCACATCCAGGGCAGCGGTCGGGCAAGGGCCGCAGCCGCAGGGAGAGGCGGTTCTGCGCACATCTACTACTTTGAGAATGACCCTGAGGAAGAGGCCAGCAAGGCCCGGAGGATGGAGGAGGTGGCAAGAGACCAGAGCCTGGCCCTGTCGGAGGAGCAGCGCAAGAAGCTGGAGATGAAGCCCAAAGATGCAGTGGGAGGGGTGTATCCCTACCAGAAGGGGCAAGAGATCAACTTTTTCAACTGCCAGCAAATCGTGTCTGAGTGGTGCCAGAAGGTTCTGGGCACGCGCTACAATGCAGAAAGCTTGTATCAAAGGCAGGTGGATGGGGCAAGCCCAGCGCCAGTTTCTCGCGTTCCAACGCCTGATGGATTGAAGGAGTTCTTTGCCGGAGACGTTGATGCGCACTGGAAAGGCGTTCACCTTGAGCAGGTGGCCATAGGTCAAAAATAGGTACCCCAAATGGAACCTGGCAAATGTAACCAAGAAGTAAAACCTGCGGTCCCCTTGTGGTTTAATTTTGACCCATACCCAGGTGATTGCCAAGGAGCAGCTGGCGGGAGTGTCTGCGCTGGATCGCGCGAAACGGCGGGCCCTGTTCGTGGTAGCTTGGTACTTGCGAGAGAAAGGTTTGGTGGACGAGCGCAACAACGCCGAGACCGTTCAATTGGAATTGGCCAAGTCGGCTTGTCAGCCGACAGGGCAACCCCCGGCCAAAAAGCTGCGAATCCAGGGCAACTTTGGTCGAGATGGTCCTGAAATTAAGGGTGGCAACTACAAGGGTGCCTTGATGGAGCTTTTGATGAGATTGCACCCACATGAGCCAATTCAGACTCTCTGGGAGTTTAGATCTACTATGGAGGATGACGGGTGGAGGGTCACCTTGACTCTTGTACGCGAAGATCGCATCTTTCAAAGCGACCCTGAAGCCACGAAGAAGGCTGCTGAGCATGCCGTTGCCAAGAGAGCACTGGCAGAGTTGCAAATGCAAAACGCGCCCGTCAGAAATTTGCCGATTCGCCTTTTCTTCTCGGAGCCGCGCATTTTGTTGGTTTCAGGCCCGGGACAATTCACGCCGGGCGCAAGCGTGGAGGCTGCAAGAAGGGTTAGCAAAAGCACACCATCTCTGGCATGGCTATGACCAGTGGAGAACCACCTCAAAAGTGGTTGGTGGACATGAACCCCCCCCTCAAATTTGGCTCGAAATTTCGACATTGACGCTGGTTTTAGTCTTTGGTTCCATTTACCCAGCTGGCCGTGGGTCACCAATGGTACCATGGGGTAGGTGCCCCCCCCCCTTTTAGATCCTATTTTAGTGGTTGGATCGGCCAGGTGTCAAAAACAGCGGCACCTTTTTGTGGGCCGGCGAATGATGTCCACTTGGGGCTTCCGCCGCATGGCAGGCCGAGTGGGTGCCTGGCCGTTGGCACAGGGGCCAGGCAGACCGATGGTTCTGCGAACCGTCACGCGCCGAAACGAAAGCAATCGGAAAGGGCCCGAATTAGGTGACTCCTGCCTTTTTTTTTTTTTTAATGGGGGGTGGGGGGAAGAGGGTAAGGTGGTGCCAGAGTTTCATGAAGTTTTTGTGAGGCCTATGCAATTAAACCCCAACTTAAATACGTCCATGTAGAAGAAGTCGATGGGATTTGGGCGCTCAGCTTTCGGACAGGTCGTGGAGGTGTCAGCGCAAGGGTCCCTCACCATCCAGTACGACGATGGGCTGTGAGCTCAGAGGCGCAAGGTTGCGGAGAGGTCATGTTCGCCACCAGGATGACCACTGGTTCACTGTTGTTTGTTCATCTCGAGATCGGTGGATCCATTGTTTCATGCGGAACAGGCAACGAAGGACATAGTTCCTGGATCTGCAAAGGACTGTGGCATAGGTGGCCTATAGTGAGCTCGCCGCAGACCTTTTGAGATGCTGGTCCATGTCAAGGTACTTGCAACGCGATGTTGCTGCTGCAAAGGCCGGCATCTGATCAGCGAGCGAGAGTGAACTCGGAGCACAATTGGATCAAGTTGCGAAAGCCCACAGAGGGTTTTTCCCTTTTCCTTGTTTGAGGGTGCCCCCTTTTTGCGGTTCTGAAGGGAAGCCCAAAGGAAAAATCCACTTGGGGTGACTGCTGACTCGCTGAAGGTGCGGTACGTTGCGACGCCCGCTCGGGCCGCGCGGAGGCGAACAGGGTTGGTTCGGACGAGCTAGGAAGCGGTTGAAATGCTGGCAGCCTGCCGTTGGTTTGCGGCAAGCCATGTTTAGCCACCAATCTTTCGGTGTCCCGTGAAGGACGGGGGCAGTCGTGCCGGTCGTCTGCATGTCGTTACTCAGGCCGGGAGTGCCGCCGCCGCCGCCCCCTGCTGCCTACCCATGGCCAGAGGGACCCGCCCCGGCGCCAGGCGGTTTGTGTGCTGCTTCGTCTCTGCCTCTCTGTGTAAGAGGGGGTTGTCTCAATGGGAAGCCACAAGGAAACCAGCCCCCTGGAAGATGGCCGAGTCCAACTCTTTCTCTTTTTCACCCATTGGTTGTAAGAGTTGGAACCACCTGAGTGATTGGTGGACATGAATCCCCACCAAAATTTGATGTGCACCAAAGGGCCCGCTTCGGGTTGGTCTAAAGGTAGGCCAATGGGGGAAATCGGAAATCGTTGTTGGTCCGAATCCCTATTTTGACCCGCACCCATGCGGTTAGAAGCTGGCAACTTCGAACGGCCCCCAAAAGGCTGGTCTCAGTCGCCAGCAATCGCAAGCCGCACACCAGGCGTTGGCTTGCCTCCTAACCTGGCCGAGCAGAAAGTGGCTGAGCAAAGAGTGGCTGAGCAGAGAGTGGTCGAGCAGAAAGTGGCCGAGCCTGCAAAGTCTGGTGGCTATACAGAGGACGCAGGCACAAAGAAGGCCGGACATTTACCTGGCTGTGGGTCAAAAGCCTCAAAACCCTGGTGAACATCAAAAAATCGGTGGTACAGGTGTTCATCCCCAAAATGGGATCGGCAGAGGGCACATGACCCATGGCCACCTGAACGTTCCCTTGTCGAAGTGGTTCGCTTGGAGGCCCGAAAGCGGCTCAGTGCTGCTGTGGACAAGGGGCGCACGCAGGAGGTGCAGGCGGGCGGTTCGCGCACCGGGAAAGCGGTTCGCGCACCGCGCGCGCGCGCGAACCTTTTTTTTGGTCTCTCAGTGCCAGGCGTTGCTCCTCGATGCGCAGAAAGTGGGGATGTTGGGTCCGGAGGCGCCTTGTTCTTTGTCCGGATGCGGAATTAAGTGTCTTTGGGCCTGGGGAGCACTGGGTTGCCAATCGAGCTTTCTTTGAAATCTTCGGCCAGGTCAGATGGGCCAGAGATACGCTTCTTGCGGCAGAGGCGGGTTCTCGGACGAAGCCCTCGTGAGAAAAAACAAACAAAAAGCAAGACATCGACTGGCTTGAGAAAGGCGCGTGAGTTCAAGAAGAACACGAAGCGCTTGGTGGAGGACGCAGTTTTTTCCATATGGCTGTGGGTCAAAACCCTGTACTCGTGGTGAACATCAAAATAGGTGGCAAATGGATTTTCCTCCCCCCCAAAATGGGATCGCCATAGGTTATGCCCCATAGCCATATCTTTCTTGGCGCGGAAGTGGATCAACGTGGACTTTCTCGACTTCGAAGGATGCCATCGAGTCGAGTGACTACTGGAAGCTTCAGGCGGTGCCTGCCTCGGAGCGCTGGAAATGGTCAAGCATTTTCCTGGAGAGCGGGACATGTGGAAGTTGCAGGGGATCAGGTCACACCGCGGAAGGTCTTCCCCGTTGGTTTTTCAAGAGTCTTCCTCGAGTCCTTGATGTCCTTGAGTCATGAGGCCATGCAAGCCGTCATTGGCTGCGGTTTGGCGAAGGAGGAGGCGCTGGCAATGCCTTCAAAAACCACACCTGCTCGTGCTTCGGCGAGAATGGCGGACGCAGGCTCCGCGACTCAAGCAGGCAATGAGGACGCACAAGATTCGCTCGGAGGCGCGGCCATTTCGGGATGTAGGTGTGGCTCAAACTTAAAAAGCTAGGGCTACGCAGGTTTTAGCCTTTGGTTCCATTTGCCAAGGCCATTTTGGTACATTTAGTTGAGCCACAGCCATGTGGGTGTTCCAATCACTGGCTGGGGGTCATCTCATGGGCACCATTCATTGCACAGAGCTCGTTTTGGGCGCGGACCGTGCCCCCTTTTTTGGCTGCCAGGCATCAAAAGAGCTTCGCAAGGCAGCGCAGGCTCAATGTCGTGCTTTGTTTCTTCTGCCAATGTTCTGGTGAGCTCACCGATTCCGGGGAAAAATGAGCGATTCGCCATGATGTAGGTCAGTTACCCGGGGATTTTCCAGTTGTTTTTTTTGCAGATGATCTGCACTTCAGCTGCGGCTGCGGCACAGGTTCGTGACAAAGCTCGCCTTCGGACTGCCATCGAAGGTGCCCTGAAGGCCATATAAAGAGCAGAGCGGGTGCCATGGTGGCTGTGGGTCAAAAAAATTACATGTACCAAAATGGCAGCTTGGCAAATGGCTCCAAATTGGCTGAAACCTGCGTAGCCCGCCAGTTGTTTCATTTTGAGCCACACCTCATGCCACGCTTGGCGCCACGGTTGAGTCGCCGCGTGGGCAGATCCACCTGGAAGCGGCGGTGGTGAAGCGAGCCCGGGACGCCTTGCGTACCCTGCAGGAGCGGCGCGGTGGGATGGGGCGTCTGGAAGAGGCGGCCGTGTAAAAAACGAGGCCAGGAATGGTTCTCTTCTTTCCGTTTGGATTTTAACGGGACGGTTGGGGTTTTTCGTTTTCTTGAAGGAACTCCCCCCCCCAAAGTGGTGGTTTTCCTTTTGGCTTCCCTATTTTCCACAGGAAAAACGGGGTACCAACCGTACCAACTCCAGAAAAGACACCCATTTATGGGCTGATTGTTACATGTAACAAGGGGGGTGGCCCGACCCCGGCGCTGAGAACTCAGGCACGTGACGAAGCTCGGGAGGAGCTTCGGCAAGCCACGGCCGTGAAGGCGGGGCGATTTGAAGTCATTTGGGTGGGTCTGGTTTTGAGGTAACCTCGTTGCTTGGTGGCTCCCAGCCATCCCCTTAGCCCTTTAGCCTTTTAGTGTTTAGTGGTAGTTTCCATTTAACCCACTAAAAGTTAAACTTTTACCGGGGGATCTGAGGACAGCCCAGTTTTGAGGTAACCTCGTTGGGGCTGATCTAATGGGAAACCAAGGCAGGAAGCGATTCCAGTTTTCACTTGGGTGGGTTTGTTTTTGAGGTAGCTTCACTAGGGTTGATCTAATGGGAAACCAGAATGAAAGAACAGTGTTATTTTCGGGGTCGCTAATAGGTACACGCTCCGCGCTCGGCCAAGCTCAAAAGAACCATAGGAACAGTGCGGGCTGAGTGAAGGGTACCGGGGCTGGGCTGAGTTCCTGCCTTTTTGCCTTGGCTTTGAGTCAGTGACCAAGAAATGTGGAATCCGGTACATGAGCAAGAACGCCCGCCAGCAATCCGGAAGGGGGGTTGTTCGAACAGGGGGCAATCCCTCCTTTTGACACACCGTGAGACAAACCTCCTGAGACACACGTAGTATTTGGACGTTGAAAAAATGGCTTTGGTTTTCCTTTCGTTTCTCTTTAGACCAACCCGCAAAGGTACCCTCACCCTCAAACTACCCACAAAAAGGGGCTATTGCCCAACATGATGCTATGATTTCCCTTGTTTCAGGGTTTTCCTCCGCCAGAACCAGAACCTCCCCCCCCCCCCCCCCCCCCCCCTCCCGCCCCCTTCAGGAGGTGGCGCGGCTGAAGGCTGCCATCGCGAATGCCGAGAGGCTGGGTCTTCAGGAGGAGGCGCATCGGATCCGAGGAGTTTGGGGAACCCCGGATGGGATCCGATGGGATCCGTGTAAAGGAAAGTACGTGTCAAAGTAGAAGGGGGGGGTGTCCGCGCCTCCGCGCCCCCCCCCCCCCCGAAAAAGTAAAGGAGCTTCGGTTCTCTCTTGGCTTGACTTCTTGTTACCGCAAAGATGGTGCCGAGGATCAAGAAAGGCCGCACCCATGACATGGTGGGAGGCCTGTGGACGATCAATTAGGGGATTAATGTCCACCAGGGTCCCTATTGAAAATCATAGCTGTATGAGCTTACTCCTAATGCTAGTTACAGGTCCCCTCCTGCATCGTGTAGCATGCCCACACGTTTGCCCACACGTTCTCACATCAAATTGGGGAATTCTCTGCAATGACTTTGGTATCAATTTTGGTTGCTGGCCCATTTCTTTCTTCCAGGCTTTTCCCTATAAGCATGCCAGAGAGCCACAGCAAGTTGTGGCGTTGACTTGGGGAACAAACACGCCATACAGGTAGAGACGCACCTCATTAGAAAGGACCAGTTTGTGCCCAGCTTGCAATTTGATACTTGCCTTTTGCCAAGTTTAAAACCCACGCCTTTTACTGTGTGCGGTGCGACATCTTGTGCTTGCAGTGAACCAAGTAAACCAAGGACACTTCGCGCAAGTGGGGCAATCTGTCAGTGGCTCGCAGTGCTTCGTTGCTTTTGGGTCGCTAGGCGCCGGGAATGCTTGGGCAAGATCCCAAGGAGCAAGAGGAGAGCGGGCCTTAGAGGCACAAGAAATCCGGGCACCGCCTAACCAACACCGAGGCTTGAGGCTGCGCGTGCTGAGCTACGGCTGCATGCCATGGCAAGGCCGCGTGCTAAGCGTAGCGATGTGCTGGTCGATTTGCTTGCCACGTGCTCGTGTACTTGGAAGATGTAAGGTGCCATGTGCTCCATGTGCTGTACATACCAAGCATGCGGCAAGTGTGTTGCTTCGTTGTGCAAGGCACTGCACCATGAGCTGCATTTGTAGCACACTCGTGCTTATGACTGCTTGATCTATGCGCCATGAGTTCGAAATCAGCAGCACACATGTGCATGCACGTGCTCCCATGCTTCACCTGTGCTGCACGAGTGACACGGGCAGGAAACTTCGGGAGTGCTGTGCTCACGATGCAGCAAGGTGGTGTTTTGCTGCAAGCTGTGGGCTACGCGCAGAGATGCCAGCGGTATGCTGACGTGCTGAATGCCTGCGAAGTGCTACAGGCTGCTTGCTGCTTGCTGTACGTGTGCTCAAATTGGTTGTGCTGCGACAAGCACTCTGCACCGCAAATGCTGCAGCCAGTGCTGCGTTGATGTCGCACCCTTGCTGCATGCGTGCGTTCCCGATGCAAGCTGCGCCGTGCTCACATGTACGTGCATTGCCGCGTGTGTTGCGCCTCACGCACGAACACAAAAAACACGCCGCTGGCTCCTTCTCTATGTTGACCTTGTTGGCGCAGCTGTGCCAGGCTATCAAAGTTGGCAGATGCGGAAGACTTGGACAACTTAGCCAAGGGATTGCAGGCAAGGTGTGGTTTTGTGTGGACGGTCTTCTTCTCTTTCGGATCGTCTTCGGTCTTTCCTATTGTGGATGCCCGCCTCCATGCCAAGTGCCACACAAGCTTCGCCTCCCAGCGAGTTCCCCCTCAGGTGCTGAATTGTTTTGCCTGACGATTCTGGCATGAAGGGGGAAAACACGCGCAACAGCTCGTCCCCCCGCTGGCAGTGCTGCGTGCGGCGCCGTCTCGACGGCCGGCCGAAGATTAAAACGTGCGGTTGTTGGCAACAGCTTCCGCCGTGCAACGGGATTGAGACCGTAATCGGGATGACCATCAACAAAAAACTGTTTTGGCAATCAACAAAACACTTTCCACAATCTCACTCTCCTTCCCACCGTAATCTTTGTATCTTGGACTTCTGGCGCTGAAGTTTTTTCGAACGGAGATTATATGTTTTTTTTTGGAAGGCTTCGAATGACATCCGATGGCTTGTGAGCCGCGCTTCGCGCTTCGAGCGGCTGGCCTCGCTCGTCGATCGATCTGACCCCGAGAGCTCCTTGGGCACCTGCGGCTTGGATCGCGTAGGGTGGAATGGAGGGGTCGACTTGCATAGCCCGGGTTGACATCGAGCTCCGCTGAGCTCCAAACAGCTCTTCCGGCCGGAGTCTGGTTTTCGGAGATTTCTAGATCAAAGTCACCTTCCATAGGTCAGAGGGAACAAAAACCCAAAAGCCTTCCGATCTTGAGCCGTCAGAAGAAGCAAACAAAAAAACCGACGCATGACGGCGAGTGAGGAGCTCGAAGGCCACGGTATCCCAGACCCAGAGTGGCGCGAGTTCAAGAAGCGGCCCGGGGCCCCAGCCTCGAAGCTTCTCCGCCCGGAGCTTTTCAACTTTTGGCGCGTGGCGGTCGGAATTCCGTGCCCTCCCTCCAATGGCAACTGACAGCTCCCTTCAAAAGGAAACGAATCTTCCAGGTACCTGCCCACAAGTGCCATAGTTGGAGGATAAGTTTTTGTTGGCAGGTGTGACCTTTGGGGGACAAACTCTTTGTTCTCTTTCACGCCGTATCGGCTGCCAGGCATTCCCAGCTCAAGATCCGCCAAGAATGCGAGAGCAAGCTGGCGCTGGCAACCAAGGCGGGGCCTAGCACACTCCAATCTCTGGCCAGCTGAGCATGCCAGGCCCGAAACAAGGAGCACATTCTGGCAGCGATGGAAAAGGCCAAGGCGCAAGTGCTGCGAAAAGCCTTTTGCGCATCTTGCCGGATCTGGCCGTTGCCAGGAATCCTTTGTGGAGGAGGATTCGGACGTGATTCAGATCGCCCGAAAGACCTTGCACATGCTGGAGGTGGCTCAGTGGATGGGGGGGGGGGGTGGCGACTGGCTCTGCGGCTCTGCTTATTGTTTCTGGGAGGCCGAGGAGAACATGGCGAAGACCAGGGCCGAAGTCGCAGAGGCCGGCCGTTCTCTGCTTTTCTTTTGGCCTGCGACGCTTTTTTTTTCTTTCTCTCTCTCTCTCTCTCTCTTTGTTTTTCTTTTCTTTTTTTTCCCCGTGTGCGATCTCGGGATCTCGGGATGACTCCAGGAGCTGTCGAAAGCCGTCCAGGCAGAGGAGCAAAGCGGGGAAGGTGGCCCCCATGGTCCGTACTGACCCGTGCCATTCAGCCGGAGACGTGTCCAAGAGTGACTTGAATCCTCAGTAAAAAGGGGACACCCATGAGATTTCCAACCAGGTTCTTCCTCCGGGGTCAATCTTAGCTTCCCGATGGCCACTCGTCACTCGGCCAGGACCAGCGCCGATTGCTCGCGGCGATCACCGCGGCCGACGCCGCGGGCTTCACGAGCTCCGAGGCGGAGATCGGAGTGTTCGGCCGGTGGCACCGCGGGGGTCGAGCAAAAGGTCCTTTGCATGCGATGACCAGTAGTTGGAAAGCCCACCAAAATGAGGAAACACGTCCCACATGGGGACAAATTCAATTACACAGGGTCATTTGGGGGCCAGGAATATTGATCAAGCCTCACATGTGTGAAAAAGAGTCCTCTTCCTCTTTTTCTTCTTCTTTTTTTCCTTTTGGTTGCCCTTTGAAACCTTTCCCCTTTCAGGGGTACCCCCTTTCGAAACACGACCCCCTAGATGGTCATTTGGTGGGCTCAACTTCGTGCGGATTTCGGGCGGATCCCCAGCCGAAGTTGCCAGGTCGCCTTTGCCAGGGAAAGGCTCCGACGCCTGCGAGCCCGAGTTGGCGCTGCCCTGAGATGACTGAGCCGAGAAGCCTTGCGAGCCTTTGGATTTCTTGAGGTTTTCATCTACAAGAACAAATGGAACATGGTGTTTTCATAGGGTTTTCCAGGGGTTTGACAAACAAAAGCGTCTTTTCACGGTTTTGATCAAAACCCTGTGGCTTAAAACCCAACGATGGTGTGTTGGTTTGGCTTTCTCTTTCCACGCGAGAGGTGCTGGACAGGAGCTCCGGGAAGCCGCGCACTCCGCAGATTTGTACAGGCGGGGGAAGTCAGCCTCTAAGTGGTGGGTTAAAGGGAAGCCATTTGGCCGTGGCTCAAAAAGTTCCGGGATTCCAAAATGGGTTGCCATGGTAAGTGGACCAAAACCTGCGGTTTCCCCCCCCCCCCCCCCGTTTAATTCTGAGCCACGGCCATTTTAATGCACTGGTGGTTTTATCATCAAAGTTAGGTGGTGGGTTACCGAACCCATTTTCGGACTTTGATGATAGGGAAACAACCGAATCCATTTTCTGACTTTGATGACCCCGAGAGACCATCAAAATAATGACCCCAGCGAGGCGGTGTTTCTCAAAATACGGCGGATGGTTGCAAGATCCTCGTCGCACCGTCCAGAAACCCTGGGTTTTCTGATTCGATTGAAACCCTGGGTTTCCTTTGACTAACTTTGGCACAGTTGTGGGGCCAAGGGCATTTTTTTTTCGGTTTCCTCCCAACGTGGGTGTCTTCTTTAGGAGACCCCCCAAAATGGTCCTTTCAAACCATTCCCAAATGGGTGCCAAGGACACGTCCAAATGGACCAACTTGGGGGAGTCAACTGCCCGGTGCGAGGAAGTGGGTAACTGGATAGCAGTCTTGTCAGATCCTCATGCGGTTCTGTTGTGAAGAGGTTCAAATGCAATGATAAATGGGTCTCGCCGAATTCCCGAATAATGTCTAGCAAAGGGGCCCCTATGAAATGTCACACTGATGTCAGTTCCCATGGTAGTCACCAGTTACCATTCTGTACCTGTATGCGCGCTTGGATCGACTGCCTGTGCTCAAGACATCCACTGCAAGACCATGTGGCAATCAGCACAGCTCAGACTGGAAACAAAATCGTCAGCCTACAGTTGCAAGAAGGCCTGAGATCAGACCTAGATGACCTAGATGCTCCATGTGTTCTGAAACGCTGGGTCGAACACCAGCGCAGGAGCAGGGTGCCGGGCCGGGGTAGCCATGCGCTCCTAGTGCCTAAGCCATGCCTGCTGGCTTCGGGAGAGGCGGACAGAAAGTCTGTTCGCGGAAGCACATGCAGCTCCATGGCGGATTTTCGTGCACGGCTTCAGGATGTGTACTCGTTTTTCAGCTGATGCTTCTACAGCAGCTGCAGTTTCTGCCATTGGCTCAGGACTCCGGCTCTTGAATCTTTTTTTTCTTCTTTTTCTTCTTCCTCCTTTTCTTTTCCTTTGTTTCTTCCTTTTCTCTCTTCTTCTTTTTTTTCACTTTTTTGAAGTGGTGTATGGAGTGGCAAGAGTTGTGCAAGATGCAGTGACACGGGGCGCGGCGAAGCTGCATTTTGAGGGTTCCGCATGCATCCAGCCGCCTTGCCTTTCACGACTCCAGGGTTTGAGCTTTGCGGATCTGCAAAAAGCGCAGGAGATACCCTTTAACAGGAAGATGTGATGGGAGTGTATCAAACGCAGGCAAGCCTGCCTTCCCAAAAGCGGGTTGGCCAAGATTCAGTGTGTCTCAAAAAGCGGCAGGAACATCGCAAAGTCGTGGAGCACAGATGGCCAGGCAGCCTCCTGCCTGCTTGTCATGCGCACTACTTCACCGGCATGCAAAGGGAGCGTATGTTCGGCCGATGGCAGGAGCTTCCCCAAAATGGCTTCGGTTTTCCTCTGGGTTTCCCTTTAACCCCCCCCAAAAAAAAACACAATCAAACAAACAAACACAAAAAAAAACACCGAAACGGGGTGCCCTACGTCTCTCCAAATGCGGTGCGGTGCAAACGACAGCCTTGCCACAGAAACGCGGTCCGGTCAGGCCGGCAGCTGGAGGAGCCCGCCGGAAGTGCAGGTGGGGCTGTTGGAGCTATGCCAAACCGCAGGTTTTGGTCTTTGGTTCCATATACCGAGGCCATTTTGGTGCTCATCTTTTTGAGCAGCCAGATGCCATGGAATTTTGAGACTTAAAGAACCTCGAAAGTGGTTGATGGAGCTTTTTATCCGCACCTAAATGATAGTCCACCAAAGGGTCGGTTGGTGGGGGTTCATGAAGGTCCACCAAATGATCTAGGCGGTTCCCTTGATGTGGGTTGGTGGACCTTTTTATCCCCAGCTAAGTGATCATCCACCAAAGGGTCCCTCAACATGTGTGGGCTGAGACTTGGGATCGGAGGCCCGCTTTCAGATTTTGTTGGACAAAGGCCGGCAGCTCGGAAATTTCTGCGGCAACTTGCTTGACGGATGTCTCGGAAATCTCAGGATCTATTTCCGGAACGGCAATATGCCTTGCCCAGTTGGATCGCAGTCCCGATCTGAGGGGATTTTTCAAATGAGCTAGGCCAATAGTGAAGCTGCAAGGCCCGTGAATGATGAAATCGATTGCATCGAGGGCGCAGATGAGACGCTTGGCATAACGACACTTCTTTGCTCATGTGACCATGGTTCAAAGCCAATGCTACCATTTTGGGATAGGTGCACCACCCATTTTAGTCTGTTTTAGTGGGGATTGGGATGTTCACTGGGGGTACGCAATTTTGACCCATGGCCATGTGAAAAGCAATGTCTTTCTTGTTGAGGCCGGGCATAGGCCCTTTCAGGGCTTCTGAAGAGTCCCCACGGGGAAAGGGGGATGTCCGCTTCGCGGATCCCGCGTGGCTTGGGCTCACGCGCGCATTTGCGGCTTTGCTCGCAGCTCTAAGGACAATTGACGTTCAGAGCATCTGCCAATCCACAGGTTTGAGCGTCCGGAGCTCAGCATCTGAATCTGATCAGATTTGTTTTATCCTTGTGTTTTTTTTTGTCGACCCGTCCCTGAACTCCTGGAGCAATAGACGCCCTTAGTTTGCGGGGATACAAATAGAATCCGACATCGGCTCTCGGGCCAGCGCTTGTCTGCCTTCAGAAGAGGCGCCCAACACCGATCCCAAGAAGGCCTTTCAGGTGGTTCTATTTGGTGTGTAATGCAGACCATAGCAAGGCTAGTAATGTTGTTCAACCATCTTGGTAGAAGCAAGAATCGATGATTTTTGGGCAGTGCTGACATAGAGTTTTGCTCAACATGTGACGTGGACCATGCTCGAAGAGGACTTTGTCTGTGGACTGAGGCATGTTTGCAGCGGAGAAACGAGACGTTGCTACCTGGGGGATGCTTCACCATCGAGTATCTAGGAATCACCTCGTACCTCTGGCCTGTGTTGGAATTAGCATCCCCGGAAGGTATCATCCGGCCAACTAGGGATATCCATTCCCCAAATGGTGACGATTCGGGACTGTCGCGAATGGGCATCCGGGGGCTTTCATCCTGCGGAGAACTCTCGCGTGCGCCAGGCTGGTGTTCAACCCTGCAGGACGGGTTCTCTCCTTTGCCTTTGATGTGAACAATGCAAAACACATCCACGCAGGAGAGGCAGCGACGTGCACGCCGCCGGCCTTCTGCGACCTCATCTGTGTGTCCTTAGCTCAGCGAGCGGCTTCCCGGCTGGGATCGGATCGGCTATCGCGTGGCTCAGGAAGTTGCCTCCGTCGCCGGCCCGGAGCCCACGGGTGAGGTCGGACCCCAAACAACGGGGACCAGCGGACTACGAAGAACATTCTTCGGTCCGAAATGAACCAATTCCTAGGGGCATGATTCTTATGGGTGCTTTCCTTGAAAGCTTTTTTTCAACATAATTTTTCTCTTGGGCGTTATTTTGACAGCTCATATGCAGGCAACCCTAGTTGGTGGTTTGGATTGGTGGTTTGGGGAATTGAACCTTATCGGAGGCAAGCTGACATATGCTGAGTTTGACGCCTCAATCTGCGCTTAGGCGACGGTCACGTCCACCACTTTCGAGACCACGACCTCGAGCCTTGCCAGGACAAGTTCCACCACTCAGACGCAAACATCTACGGTGACCAAGACCCCGACCACCATCACCGTGACACCCACCACAACTTACACAACCGCGACCAGCACCTTCTCCACTAGCACCAGCACAACCACCATGTCCACTCGCACCAGCACAAGTACCTGGTCTACCCTTACAATTACCAGCACCATCACAAGCATAAGCACTTCCACCACTTCGTCCAGCACAAGCCCGGAGCTGGCAGGTTGGAATGTGAGCAACTTCAGCTTTACATCCACCACCAGATTTGTGCCCGGGCAATTCGTAGCGGACGACAGTGACACAATCTGGGAGAGTGACGACAGCGAGCCTTTCGCTGAGTCTGGAAGCGCGAGCTCTGACTCTGTCTCGCCAGTCTCGGAGTCAGAGACGGAAAGCTCAGAGACAACCTCTGAGCCGGACCGTGGGAATACCACCCGGAGCACGACCACTTCCAGATTCCTCCGCGGCGCAGCTCCTGCCCTGGCAGACGTCAACGGTGTCGGAACCTCAGGCTGAGCCGGGCGAGAGCATGACTCGCCTATGAGGGCGCCTGTCTTTTTTTTTTTTTTATGTTTTACGGAATGGCGGGTCCTCTTTTTCAAGGTTTTTTGGTCCTTTCAGTTGGTGGGCCATTAGGTCTCGAGCTGAACCGCATCCTGTACTCTGTCGCCCTTTGAATGGACGGAACGGTGTCTCGGCTTTGAGCGAACGGTGTGTCACAGCTGCCTGTTTGGCTAAAGGACCGATGGAACAAAGAAATCAGGCTTCAAGGCAGCAGAATACAGCAAGTTGTGGTTTCTTTGGCGTCCACGGCCATGTCTATCACCAAGCCAGATTTTATGTTCAGAGGCCAGGTTCATCAAATATATGATGCATACGATAAACCTCCTCTCAGGGATGCTAATGTGACAGGTTTAGGGGGTCACGGTACTTCAGAGTTGTGGTTCTGCAAGTTCAATGTGGGTGCGGGTCAAAATTAAACCACCAGGGGACCGCAGATTTGAGTCCTTGGTTCCATTTACCAGGCTTCTATTTTGGGTACCCATTTTGGACCCACAGCCACGTGCTGGCCAGATCGCTGCATGTCAGGTGGAGCTTCCTCCGCTGCTTTTTGTGCATGGCGGCCCGGCGGCCAACGCGCCAAATGTGATCAGGCGCGTGTAACAGACCGGGCTGTGGCTGCGACGAGTGCACAGTGCACAAGGGTTGTCCAAAGGTTGCACAATTCATATCTGAAGGATAGGCGTGCGGAAAGCTAGATATTCGTTCTTTCTGCTGCAATGGCAGCGGAATATGCATCGTGTACAGCAACTAGTAGTCTTTAATTCACACCTTTCAGGAACAAACTGAGCGAAAGCAGGCGTGCATGGAAACCATAGCAAAAAGCTGTCTTTGGAAACGCATTGCGTCCTTTGCCTCCTGCATGCAAGCTGCGGAGAAGGAAATGTGGCGAGTCATGGTGCGTGCCGCAGCCTCTTTGCCATTCAATGGATCGTGCTCTTGCGTGCCCCAGCCTTACCACGTGGGCAGGGTAAGCAATGCGGCGCATCTTTTCACGAGACCAACATAGAAGCCTTGGGCACTGGAGCTGGGGGCATTCTGCATAAATTGAAGCGCTTTTGTGAAACCTCACATTTGGGACATCTGCCACCAAGGACCTGCCCACAGTTGGGAGAGCATGGCAACGGCATCGCGGAGTACTTGATTTTGCAAGAGGCGCGCTTGGATTGCCGCTGTGCTCTTGATGCATCTTGAGATGATCGCGGCTTGTTGCAGTTTGTTTCCCATTAGCTTTCAGAGCGTTGCCGGTTTTTTCTGATACTTAGCGAGAACATACTGCTAGGCCTGGCTCTTGGCATGCTATGAGTTGACCTGCTGCCTTGCTCAAGCGGTGTTCGTGCCGAAACCTCGTTTCCACTCGTCCAAGAGTGCGCGAATCGATTGTTCACCATGGCGGACAAGTCGGAGAACCCCATGCGCCAGATCCGGGTGGAGAATCTCCACCTGCGTTTCATCTTCAAGTCTTTTGGTGCTCTCGGGTCTTTGTATCCGGAAGCTTCCCGCTGATGCAAGCCCCAAAATGGCTTCGGTTTTCCTCTTGGTCTCCCTGTAACACCACAGGAAAAAGGGCATCAGCTCCAAGAAACGATAGAAAGTCAGCTCCGGTGCCGATCCCGACGCAGGAAGCTGGTCCTGAACATCTCCGTGGGCGAGAGCGGGGATCGCCTCACGCGCGCCGCCAAGGTGCTGGAGCAGCTCACCGAGCAGCAGCCCGTGTTCTCCAAGGCCCGCATGACCATCAGGCGGGGCGTTTTGCGCGAGCCATCCAGACGCGAGCGGCGTGTGTTGCGCGAGCGCTTTTTTTTCTTCTTCTTTTCCTCGGCCGCCAAGGGTCTCAATGGTTTGTTCTCAGTTGGGGACCCCCAAAGGAGGACATGGGCCATTTTCTTCTTCCCCTTCGAAGAAGTCTTCTTCTATTTTTCTTCGGCACCGCGGTCTGCAGCGGTCTGCCGCCGGGTCATTCTCCGGCAAGCCTGATCACCGAGTGCTGTTTGACGGAAGCCCAACATGGGGTGTGACTAGAGACTTGTCAACGGGGTGCTGTTTGTGATTGCGCGAAAGGCGGCACAGAACCAGACCCGACCAAGTCCGAGTGTCTCCGGAGGTGGCTGCCGATGGCGGGATCTTTCCAGTTCACTTTGAAAAGCCCAAGCAAGAGACACCCGAGGCCTTGCGAGTTCGGCCCATTTTGAGATTCTCCAGTTTTCCCTCCTCCTTTTCCCGGTTCAGCTGGATTTTCGAGTTTTTTGAGGCAAATTCCCCCTCCCCCTCTTCCGTGGGATTTTTCCCACGGTCCTGAGGCAGTGGAGCGTGCGGAGGAACGAGAAGATCGCCTGCCACGTCACCGTGCGGGGCGAGAAGGCCGAGGAGATCTTGGAGAAGGGCCTTAAGGCGAGTGTCGGGGGGGAATAGCCACGAGGGACTGGGGGGGAGCGGTGGGGGTGGGGGGATCCGAGGATCTGTGGAACAATTCGGCCCAAGCGACCAACAAAAGCCGCCTTTGCAGCATGTTTTTGTGCAAAGGTTCAGTTTTGTTTTTGGGTTCCGGATGACTTATGCTAAAAAAAGCGGAAGCATTTGGTGTTTTCCGGATCATTTTTCTTCAAAACCGTAAAACAATAGTAGCTTTCCGGGGGCTGGCTACTGGTGGCATCAAGTTCGACAATCCGCTTCGCTTCTTTTGGACCAGGTTTGAGGTACCAGTTGTTGTTTGCCCAAATGAATTTGGTTTCCTCTTGGTTTCCCTTTCAATCCCCAAAAATTGGTACCCGGGTATCTCTAAATGAGCCACAATCAAAACCTGGGTAAGTGAAGGTTAGGGACGATCCCAGCCATAAATAGCTGCGGATATCCGCCTTAGTTCTTGAAGCATGGTTCTGGGTCGACCATTTTTGTACCGGGTTTTGATTGCTACTCAAATGGCCATGGCTCAAAACCAATGGTAGGTGAATTCACCACTCATTTTAGAACCTATTTTAGTGGGGATTGGGATGTTCACTGGGAGTACGATTTGGCTTTTGACCCATGGCCAAGTGGAATTGGGATTTTTCTCCAGAAAGTTGGAGCAGCGCCCGCAGGTCAAGGAGTACGAGCTCCGCAAGAAGAACTTCGCGAGGAACGGCAGCTTCGGCTTCGGGATCACGGAGCACATCGACCTCGGCATCAAGTGGCTGTGGCTCAAAAAGTTCCGGAATTCCAAAATGGGTTGCCCTGTAAAGTGGAATGGACCAAGACCTGCGGAAGCTTTGCCTTCCGATCGTTTAATTTTGAGCGACAAGTGGGGGCCTTAAGCGGGAAGGAAGCGCATGAGGTCAGCGAGTTCGGTGGGTTGTCCAAAGCTCTGTGTGAAACACTGAAACAGGGGGCTCGAAGCATGAGTTTTGACAACTGCCAAATCTGGTCATCGGATGTGCTTGTATGGAACCGAAATCGCTTGCCAAAGCTGGCACATTTCTTGGCAGTCTCTTGATGGCTAAAATTCAAGAGCCAGGGGACTGCAGATTTACTTTTTGTCTACTTTGCCATTTACCGGGGCGACCCATCTTGGGGCAACCCATCTTGGGGCAACCCATCTTGGGTCGATTCCTGGCACTCCCAATTTGGTGCAGGCTCCAAAGTCTCCATCCGGCCACAGGTACGACCCCGGCACCGGCATCTACGGCATGGACTTCTACGTGCACCTGAGCCGGCCGGGCACCCGGGTGAAGAACCGCAAGCTGAAGGTGGGCAAGATCGGGGCCTCCCACAAGCTGAAGAAGGAGGATGGCCAGAAGTGGTTCCAGACCAAGTACGACGGGATCCTGCTGAACTGATCTGCTAACGAAATCAAGAGCTCCGGAAGGAGAGAATGAGAGGGACCGCGCGCAGAGGTTGGGCAAAACGAGCGCTCGCGAGCTTGCCGGTTTGCAAAAACCATGTGCTCGTTGGACATGAAGCTGAGAGGGAGAGAGCAAGATGTGACTTGCAAGCAAATGGATGCGGCAGGCCCATGAGCTGCTTTGAACGATCACGCGCGTCGAAAATGGGACTCCGCTCGCTTGCTTACATGATGTGCACCTGGCAGATAGGATCGCCTTCCGACCAATTGTGCAAGAGAGTCACCTAGTTGCAGGCTTCGTGCGGCTATCACTGCTGCCAAAAGGGCGGATGTCACGGAAGCAGAAATCGCAGGCGAGCTGTCAGAGGAGTTTCTCCTCTCGAAGCTTTGCACAGATGGGTTCTCAGGTGCGAGAGAAGCCTTGCGCAGCCTGGAACTGCAGGCATGGCATGCCCTCCGCAGATGTGCGGTTTCAGCTGGGTTCTCGTTGATTATCTGCCTCGCAGGCAGATGTGAGGAGAAGCATCGAGGCCGGATTTTTTTTTGGCGTTGGGCGGGTCGTGCTTTTGCCAGCTGCAGGCTGCGGTGACTGCGAAGGACGTAGAGCTGCTCAGGCTCGTATGCCGCATGACGCAGCACTTGGCAGTGCTGAGTTTTTGGCGTTGGTTCCTTCAGGCGATGCATAGACGAGGCGAAGAAGTCCGGCCTGAATCGCCAGGAGGTCAATTGCTCATGAGCTTGGTTTCTTGTGGTGTACACTGGAGATCCTTGGATGTCAACAAGTGGCTGAAAAAAAGGGGAAAACCGCCAGGTGTCCCGCGCGCAGAAGCAGTTGCACAAGCTTGGGCAATCCAGTGTGGGCCGAGAGCTCTCCGAGGCGACGGGGTGCTCTTTTGGGGTTTTGTGCCGGCGGAAGCCGAAATCAGCCGCCGGCGTTGCTTGGAGGCGCTGAAAACCGGAGACGCTGTGAGGCTGCGGGCAGCCGCCAGGGCGGCGACCGCCGCCGGCTCAGAGATTTCTTCCGAAGAAACGCACCGTGGGCCTGGGGACGATATGATCTCGCGCTCAGGATGCTGGCATGACCGGCGCCGAGGCGGCGCTTGGGCAAAATTGCGGCGATGCAATCTTCGGCAAGTCGACGCCAGGTGGAGTCTGCGTGGCATCGGCTCAGGGAACTTGAGTCGCATTCATGGCTGAGGTGGGGAAGCCATGTGGGGGGTTCTCCCCATAAACAATGGACCCCTTGTTAGGCCCTTGTTGGGAGACCACCACGAAACCACCCGGAGGAGTCCATTTTCAAATGTGAGAAGCGCCCATGCGACATGCACCGAATGTTTCGGCGCCGTGGGGTCACGGCCAGGCAGCAGCTCGACGGCGCAGCGGCCAGCAACGATGCGGTTCGCCTGCAGGCGCGAGCCCGCCCTGAACCGCACGGATCGTTGGAATCCGCACGGATTCGTATATTTGGCTGCGACTCAAAAAACATAAAAAATAAAACAAAATGTTACCCTTGGTAAATGGAAGCAAGAACTAAAAGCTTCGCAACCTAGCGGTTTCATTGTGAGCCACCGCCCATGTAGGCAGCCATCAAGCAGGCGGAGCTTGGAGGCGGGAAGTTTTGCCAGCGAACGTCGGTCTGCGCTGCCCACGTGTTGTTTTCTTTCAGGAAGCTTCGAAAAACGAGCATGCTACTTTGGCATGAGTTGTTCCAGTGTCTTTCGCGTGAGGCTTATCACCTGGCGACCTTGCAGCTGCCAAGAGGCGACCTTGAGCAAGTTTTTAGGGAACCTCCCTGCGGATGAAGCCTAGGCATCTGGATGCTCTCAATGCGCGGCTGCATGCACGACAGGCTCGGTGCAGCCAACGGAAGATGCGATTTCTATACTCGGAGCTGGCAGGAACTTCACCTGGCGAGGACGAGCGGGCAAGGGCCTCAAGATGCTTGCCGTCAGTTTCAACTCTGCGTTTGCGAATGTTGACGCCAGATTGACAAACCCGTCCTTGTTTATATGGGGGTGTCGCCCAGGAAATTGATGAGCCCCCACAAAAAAGGAGACCCAGATGAGTAAACCAGGAGTTCATCAATCCGGGGAAAGCATATTCTATCCGGGGTCCACATCCGACTCGAGGAATCCATATGCTCTTCTTGCAGCAGTGCGGCAGGGGGAGGAGGCACTTGACATGAGCTGGCCTTGACTCTCTGGCTTTAGCCCGAAGGCCGGGCTACCCAAGCATGAGCTGGACTTCGGAAGGAGAGGGTCGGGAGATTTCTGGGATGTGGGGGGCGCGGGTGCTCCATGTGCGTCAGTTGGATGACTTGCAGGTCCGGCATGGCCTTTGGGGTGCACCTCACCAGCCCCGAAGCCAACCCGGACTACTCAGTGCCGCTGACGCAGCCTCAGCTCCAGTCGATGCTGGAACAGCCGCCCACCATCCTCAACAACCTGGAGCCGCCCACGCAGCCCCCTACCCAGCCTCCCTCGCCGCGCACGCCCACGCGCACTCCCAGAACCTCAGCCGGACGGACAGGTTTTCCTTTTTCCGGTCGTTTGCGCTCGTCAGCTTTCCGAGTTGGCGGGTCCGCGAAGTCTTGGGCTCGCCGGGGGCTCCCTAGGCACCATCACTGACCTGTGGCCCCAGCCTTTCCGAACTCAGCTCCAACCGGAAGCTCGGCAACAGCTCGGGGCTGAGTGATTTGGCAGCGGGTCAAAACCAAAGGGATCCCATTTTGGGCTAGGTGAATTCACCACTCATTTTAGAACCTATTTTAGTGCGCGCCGGGTACATACGCACCCGCGCGTTTTTTTTGCGTGTCTTCGGTTTTTGTGCTTGAATTCTCAGGCAGGTTGACAAACTTGCATCTTTGTGGGTCTTTGAACATCCCGGTAACTAGCTCATTTCAGAGTAAAGCCGCGCATTTTTGTTCTAGTCAGGACACATGGCAGGGAGACGTGGGCTGCCAGAAGCCGGGGCACCGGCTGGAGACATGTCCTATCCCAGTGAAACTTGAAATCCGCCGCCTTCGTGGACTGCGTTGTTTGTTGTTTCGCTTGAGTGGGTGCACTTGAGCGGGTGTTCTTACCATTTGGCATGCGTGCAAAGCGGGTGCACTTCAGCGAGTGTTCTCAGCATTTGGCAGCGCAAAGCGGGTGCACTTCAGCGGGTGTTCTTACCATTTGGCAGCGCAAAGCGGGTGCGCTTCGGCGGGTGTTCTTGCCATTTGGCATGCGTGTGTGCAGTGCTGAGCGCATGCACCTCAGCGGGTGTTCTTTCCATTTGGCATGCGTGTGTGCAGCGCAAATCGGGTGCACTTCAGCGGGTGTTCTTACCATATGGCATGCGTGTCTGCAGTGCGGGTGCTCTTGAGAGGGTGTTCTTACCATGTTGGCGGGGGTAAAAACCACTTCGACTTGCGGGTGGGTAAATACCCGGTACCTTTTAGTGGGGATTGGGATGTTCACTGGAAGTACAAAGTTTTGACCCACAGCCACATGTTCAGCTGAGACGGCTCTCGCGGCATGAGCTGCGAGGTCCTGGCCGCCGATGCCTGTGCCAGACGTCCTGACCCCAGACCATAGGTGTCCTTTTTGGTTGGTCTGGTTGAAAAAGAGAGGGCGATTCCCGGTTTAGCTGATGGTTCACTCACGTACCAGGGAAACCCATCTATTTTCCCAAGAAGGGGCACCGAAGCGTCCAGACGTGAAGCTGATCCGCATCCGCATCCGAGTCTCCCATTTCAGCGGGCTTCTCTACAGTGCTCTCCACTTCATCTGCAAAGCAGGCCAGCTTAGATTTCGCCTGAGAGTGAGATCTCATGCGAGGGCTTTGAAGTGGGGCGTTGAAGAGCGGAGCGTGTTGGGAATACGAGAAAGTCGCCAGGGCAGTACTTATAGGGTCGCATCACTCACAGTTGACACTCGCCTAGACATATGGCTATGTTGAATGAAGTGGTGGACATGAATCCCCTAAACGATGTCCACCAAAGGGTCACATATGGCCATGTTACTAAAGGTCTATGTAAGGCAAGCCTTCGGAATGCCCGGTCACCTGGCTTTCTCTCGTTGGGCATTCCTCAGATCGCGGACCCCATTGGCTTGGCTTGGAGCCCATTGGTTTGCTTCTGGCTCAAACTGCACAAAAAACACGTCCAGCCACCTTCCGCGAACCACGTTGGCTGACCAGATGGATTGCCCCTGGTGCGGGATGGACACCATTGTAAGCTCATTCACAACAGAAATGATGAAGAGTACCGGTACACCTTGTTTGGAACCCACGACCTTCTTGCTGGTACTCAAAGCACGAGTTCAAACACGACAACTCAGAATTGCTTGACACATTCTGCAGCACTGTTCAACATATGATGTCTGTGTGCGGCGCAGGCACTTGGGACGCACTGGACGACACAATTGATCTGAGTGAGTCCACAGCCGCGATTTCTACTGCCAATGCCAAGTTTTTTAGAATTCACTTTCCGGCCCCAGCCCGCCTGCGCTTTTGTGTTTGTGTGTATGTGTGGCTTGTCTCAGCTCTGACTGCTTTTTGGATTGGAGCAGAGGGCGGGGTTTCTGCGGCGCATCAGGAGCCGCACAGAGCTGCAGCCGTTAATGACGCTGTCCAATTCGCCGCAAGGACCGTCTCACGCGCCACGAAAAGGCTTGCATGGCTTAGCAGTGGTCGAATGACAAACCAAACCAAACGACAAACGACAAAAAAAGCCACGACAAACGACAACCAGGGAGAACATCACAGCAACAGGAACCATGGCTTGTGCCTGAGAGGCCGTGCCTGTGACTTTCGGCTTTCGGCTCGCGAGTGGTGCCGCCTTGTGTGCGCCTCGGCCAAGCCGGAGCCTGAGATATTTTCGGGGCGGAGCGGCGATTTTTCTTTTTGTATGGATTAAAAAGTGAAAGAGCTAGGCGCAAACCGCTTTGTTTCCATGTTCCAGTTGGTGCCGTTTCGGGTATCATTTGTTGAGCGAACTGAAATTGGGAATGGTCAAAGCCAGTCGGAGCTCTTGAACCGCTTGGCTTGTGAGCCCGTAAACGGCTGCTTGTGACAACCGAGATGGACACTTGCTTGATTCCGAGATTCTGAGATTCTGCGATGGTTTGTCTCAAAAAAACTCTTGGAGCTCCAGACTTCCCTTTACAGCCAAGCAAGAGGTTTCGCCGAACACCTCCGATACGCGAACGAGACGGGATGGGTCCCGCCTCGAGGTGCTGAAGAGCATGGCGGCGTAGCTCCTGTACCTGGCAGCTGAGGCCGGTTGAAGTTTCGACAGCTGGGCGAGTTTGAAGGGCATCTTGTTCACCCAAGCAAGAATCAAATCAACCAGGAGAAACACGCTCGCACTCATGATGTTTCTTTCCCACCATCCAGGAAAAACACTCATGTTCCTGGAAGTGCTTTAGGGCACTTCCGTGCTGTGACAGTTCACAACACGGGCTCATCAAACTTGCAGCCCCAAAGATGTGGCAATGCATCGAAGTTGGGCACCTCTTCAGATGGCACAGACAGCCCTTGCATCCTTTTGAACACCAGCAAAAAGGGTCCCCATGTCCCTTTCGCCCAGCTGTCTGGCGCATTCCGCTTGGGGTTCAATATCTCAGCCAGGCCGATTGAGAACATTTGCCCTCACCCAGTGATTCATCTTGAACTTCCCTACTTGCAATGTTGGAGAACGTTTTGCATATGCATTGACCAGTCCGAGTGGCCCGATGTCAGCTTTAGAGGCTTCAAGATTGCGACCTTCCTGTTGCCAGGGCGACAGCCTGTTTGGCTTGCAGCTATGGGTCTCCTGCTCAGATTGGGAGCACGTGAGCAGCGCTCAAGCAACCCTTGGCCGTTTTAGTAGGGTCTACTACTGTTTTCGTGAGAACAAGGCTTTACCAAGGCCCTGTTTGGAGGAAAGGCCAACAACCCCAAGATCACTCTGGTTGAACCAAGAGTCAACGGGTTTCAGATGCTGCCCCGCCACCACTTACGCATGCAATCGGTCGAATTCCTCAAGGGGATGGTCTCTACAGGTTGGATAGTCATGGTTCCTGAAGAACTCTTGCGGTCGACCATTTAATATGCCCAAGCAGCCATGTCAACCGGCTTTTTGGCAGTTTCACGGCATGGACCATGTGGTTCTTTTATCGAAAACACCAGTGAGCCGACCACTGGTGATCCCCTTGACGGACATTTCCACTGCAGGATGCTGTTGCTGTGGATTCTCGTCCTCATACCTCCCGCAGCCGGAGCAGCCGCTGGATCACAGGGCTGCGCTCTCAATGGCTCTAGCCTGTTGGTTGATGTTTCAATGGATCAACCTGGTGGCTTTTTGTTGGGGTTGTTTCTCGAAAGCGAAGCGTTTTCCCCTTGTAGGGGACACCAGAGAAAGAAGCAGCCCGTTGAAGCCAATGATTTCATGTCCTGCTCCGTGTGGCTAGTAATTTCAATAAGGAGCCACCTCCAAAGTGGTTGGTGGACATGGATCCCCGCCGAAATGATGCCCACCAAGGGGTCCCTGATTCAAAATTGTACCATGTCCCCCGCTTCCCCCCCTCCCCCCCCCCCGGCGGCAGAGCCAACCGGGGCAAAAACCTGAGGTCTATGCGGAGTCCTACACTCGCGTGAAGCTGAGCGACACGGAGCTAGAACAACCCAGCGGAACCTTCTGTAGAATAGGGATATTTCTTTGTTTGAGGCACTGTTTGGGTTGGTTCAAGGGAAACCAGAAAGGACTCAACCACTTTTCCGGATCCTGATTTGAGCAAGTGCTGGAAGTCCGCATTCAACTGAGGTCAAGATCGCGCGAAGATTTGGGAATCTATTGGGAAGGAAGGTGGCAGCATCCTTGGCATCACTTTTTGACACGGGCGCAAGCCACCCCTTTTGGGCCCAATGGGTGATGTACGTTGCTGGCAAGAAGACTTTCTCAGGTCAAGAGATCATGCGCTTTAATGAGGTGGAGGATGCCGGCCACTGTTGGGCGATCGCTTTTCTGAGGGAACTTTGCGCGATTTTTCCGGTGGCCAGGACATCCGCGCATACAATCCAGGTGGATCAGAGCAGTGGCAGGTTGGTGTCGATGCCTCGAACGCTTCTTGTCTCTGGAGCATGGGCCGTGTGTTGCACCCGAGGTGCTGGTTCTGACAGAGTTGTTTTTGCCGGGCACTCAGAGGATTCTTTCTGAGCACCCCTCAACAATGTGAGCAATCGTCCATGCCAAAAGACCGATGAGAAATGGTTGGCACTGCGACTTACCAACATCCCATGTCATTGGGAGAGGGGGGGGGCACAACGAATTTGGGCTGTGCTCATGTTGAGAATTGGAGGGGCGGGGGGGTCAGCCAGAAAAGTTGCGTCAACGATCGACGCTCCGTGAGGTGCTGGAATTCGACTCCCTCGACTGGAAGCGAGACGGCCTCGCAGCATTCGAAGGCCACGAGACGTGCGCGGTCTGAGACTGAGTTGGGTTTTTGAATAGGAAACATCGGACCAGCGGCCCCCCCCCCCAAATTCTTCGGTTTTCCTTTTAAAAGCCACAAAAAAAACGCGGTGCAGGCGCCAACCCCGGACCAAACACGAGAGACACACTCAGGTTGTCGTTGAATCCGCGGTGTTCGAACCGTTCGAATCCGAGGATTCGAGGTGGGAGTTCGATTGTGATTGGGTATGGCATGATAGAGGAGGCCGGGGTGTACCAAAGTTGCGGCTGGATGGAGTCACTCGAGGTGCAGTAGGTCTCGCAGGTCTATCACGTAGCCAGCTGTGCTGACTGTGAGGGTGCAGTGTAACCTCAGCTGCTTCACCCGGGTGTTTCGCCATTCGCAGGTTGGCATCGTTTGCTTTGATGCTGGTGGATGTGCAGTGAGAGTGGTGGCTCGTGAGGCGGATGGCCCAGAACTTGATGTCGCATGCCATGGGCTTGTCTTGAAACAAGGCGTTTCTCAAAACTGGGTCCCCTAAATGGTTGGTTTCATGTTGGTTCTACTTTGAGACACAAATGGAAGCTTCACACTATGCTGCCCTTTTACTCTTTCCTCCCAGAAAGAGGCACCCAAAGAACACGAGCACGGCGAACAACAAATACTGCATGGAGATGGGGTGTGTCTTTTTTGAGGGTACCCCCTTTTTGTGAAAGCGGAAACCCGCCATTTTGGGGGCCCCCTTCAGAAAAGATGGCCCACTCCCTGTTGGTGCAACGGCCCAGCGCCACAGTTTCCCTGCGCGCTCGTCGCCCGTTTTCTTTTTGGTGCGCGGAGCGGCGGTGAGGCCTTTGGCGAGCAGTTCGAGGTGATTTTCCGGGTGCTGCAGCCAGCCGAGACCTTGCCAGCCTTCACAACCACCATTCCGGAGGACGGGGTGGTTTCGAGACCAACCCTTCAATTGGAAGAGTCGGGGACAAGTTGGGCTGTTTTTTTCCTCCGTTTCAATCATGGAACAGGTGGTTGGCCCAATCCGGGACACACTTTTTTGAGGTGTTTTGCTTCTTTCTTGAAATGCAGCTAGTTCAGCTGCAGATATGGGCTGCCAATGGCGTTTGGTGGCCGAAGAGGGCCGCCACTTTGAAGCACCACGCCCTTTGCGCGTAGGAGTCTGGACCAGAAGGGAGTGAAGCATGGCATCAGGTGGGATCGGAAAGATGGATCTCCCTCTGTTTGGAACCGCCAGAAGCGGCAGTTTTAGTGGACACCACCGATAAGTAAAGTGACCAACTGTTGATTTGGGGAATATCTCCAGTGAGCCCCCAAAAGCAGCGGTCGCAGATGCTGGCAAACATGATGGACCGCGTGCTGAAAGACTCCGCCTCAGCGTTCCGGAATCGCATAAGACGGGCTTTCTTTCTGGGCTGAGCGCCAAACTGGCCAGACCGGATCTGATGACACATGCAGGGGTTGGTCACTCTCTCGCTCCACAGTCGCATGCAAACACAAGCCAATGGACCAGTCTTTTTCAGGGATCGAAGGTCCCTGTCGGTCCAATCAAGTTTACAAAAGAGCCAAATGGGAACTAAACAGCTGTTGGGGACAGTGTGTTTGACAAATATTTATTTAAACAGTTGCTGGATCAATTGCTTTGTCACTGCAAATCGGGGAGCCTAAGGATGTTGCTGAAGGAAACCCCAAAAAGCTTCTCTCGGCGCGGACTTTGTGGCTTTTAGGCCTACAACTGGTCTCATTACTTCCTGCACTGCGCTTTGCGCCAGCCCTTGGCCAAGTGAATAGCTCACTCGGCTGCAAAAGAGGGCAACTCCATGCAACTCCTCTCAGACTATACCTCCCTCCCCCCACATGCATGATGTCCACCAAAGGGTCCACCGCTAAAAAGTCACATCCAACTTCGGGCATGGCACGTTTAGCTGTTGCCTGCAGGTTTGCCAGGTTGCCACAGGGCACTAGGATTTGCTTTTTGCCAGGCCACATCCTTGGTTGCCTTGCGTGGGGAATTAAGAGCTGCTTCGGGAGGTGTGTGGTAGCATCCTGCACCAAACGTCTGTGGACTAATGGGAACCCAGGTTTAACACGCCTTGTTGCTTGATGGGGGTCTCGTTTAGAGATGGCGTTTTCTTCCAAGTGAAGCCCTATTCAGTCAAACACATGCGAATGCCCAGACTGCGTTTGCCCCTCTTGTGCAGCATTTGCTTGTATTTAGCAACATTGCGTACATGTAAGGCAACCTCTCTGGAGCTCTTGCGAGTTGGTAATTGTAAACGCTTCGCGTTGCCCGCCTCGGCCCAGCCTAGTTTGAGGGAAGGGTCAGGAACACCGAAATCCAGTGTTGGGAAGGTCCGAATCCTGCGCCTGGGGCCTGGGCAGGGCGGGCTGGGCTGGGCCTTGCTAGGGCGGGTGGCTGGTTGGGCTGGCCTGAAGCCAGTCTTGGGTGGGCTGGGCTGTGGCTCGCGCGGGTTGCTGGTTGGGCTGGGCCTGAAGCTGTCTCCAGACAGACAAGCCGGCCTCGCCTGGTTGGGCTGGGCCACAGGCTAGTCTCAGACACATCAGATAAGCCTGCGCTGGGCCTGAAGCTAGTCTCGGGCAGCTTGGCTGGACCTTGCTTGCGTGGGTTGTTGGTTGAGCTGGGCCTGCTAGTTTACGGCGGGCTGGGCAGCCGCACTGAGGGGGCTGGGCTATGGCTGGGCTGGGCCTGTTTCAGACACGTCAGACAGGCCTGGCCAGCAGGCGGACTGGGCTGGGCTAGACGCTAGTTGAGCCCAGGCTGGTGAGGCCCAGTCTCGGCGCTAGATAGGCTGAGGCCTGCGAGTCTCAAACAGGGTGGGGTTTGCTTAGGCGGGTTGCTGGTTGGGCTGGGCCTGAAGCTAGTCTCAGCCACGAGGCTGCGAAGCCATGGGTGGGTTGCTGGCTGCTGGGCAGCCGGACTACGCTGTTGGTTGCGCCTGGAACTTCGGCGCTTGGGCGGGTCGCTGGATGGGCAAGGCCTGTCTTGGGCCTGAGGCTGGGTAGCGAGTTGCTGGCTGGGCTGGGCCTGAGGCCAGTCGCAGACACGTAAGACACGCCAGGCGGGCTGAGGGACCGGGCCTGAGGCTAGTCTCAGACTGGACCTTGAGACCGGGCCTGCTGGATGACTTGGGGCCAGACACGAGCAGGAGGTCAAGGCCTGGTCAGCCTGGGCTGAGCTGCTTGGGCAGCCGGACTGGGGGGCTGGGGCAAGACCAGTTTCAGACACGTGAGACTGTTCGTTGCCCAGTCTCAGACACGTTAGACAAACCTGACCTTGGCACGCTGGGCTGAGCCTGCTGGTGCGCCCTGAGATGCGCCGGGGCCTGGGCTGGGCAGGCTGGGCTGAGGTGGGTTGCTGGTTGGGCTGGGCCTGAAGCGAGGCTGCGAAGCCATGGGTGGGTTGCTGGCTGCCGGGCAGCCGGACTGGGCGGGCTGGGCTGAGCTGTGCTTGGGCGGGTTGTTGGATGGGCAAGGCCTGTTTCATACACACTTGGGCCTGAGGCTGGGTGGCGTTGCTGGCTGGGCTGGGCCTGAGGCCACTCGCAGACACGTAAGACACGCCAGCAGGCCTGCAGGCTGGCATACTTTGAGACGATGACTTGGGGCAGACGCGAGCAGGAGATCAAGGCCTGGCCAGCCTGTGCTTGGGCAGCCGGACTGAGAGGCTGGGGCACGTCAGCTTAGTAGCTGGCATAGCTTGAGGCCAGGCACGTGAGACTGGTCGTTGGCCTGGCCAGTCTCAGACACGTTGGCACGTGAGCTGAGCTTGGTGGTAGGGGCTGAGCGCCCTTGGCCCCTGTGGGGCCGAGGCGAATTTCAGATTTCAGTGCAACATCACAGGTAATTCCTGACATGCCACAGCACATTGGACTTGTTTTGCATCTTGCATCAAGTCAGTCATCATTTCTTGCTCAGGCGTGACTTGTTTGAGCACATCGGAGTCATCCAGCCTGAGCCGAACAGGCCTGTCTGCTGACACCATTCCTCAAGAACTCCATTCAACCATTTTTACCTGGGTGTGTCTTTTGTTAGGGGACCCCCAAAAGAGTGGTTTGCCTTCTTTTTTTTGGTGTCCTTTTACAACAAACGGGGTACCAACTTAAAAAAGAGAGACATCCACATGCTCAGCTCCATCCTGCCTCTGCAGGCTTGACCAGCCCGGTGCCACCGAAGCCAGTCGGCCTGAGCTTGCCCTTCTACCAAACGAGGAGGCCTCGAGATGCCCCGAGCAGCCAAGCATGTTGCTTCATGTGGCTGTGGGTCACAAACTCGTTTGGCCAGTTTTGGGGGGGCGTCGGGGGCCCCTAAATGACACACCCATGTCCAAACTGGCCTGTCCATGACTTCGGCCAGATTACGCAGACATTCAGCGGAATCCTCAACTTCGGTGCCTCTCAGGAGGACATTCCTCGGAATTCATGGAGGGGGGAAGCTTGGCATGAGTTGAATTGGTTCCCGATAGGACCTGGTCGGACATTTGATAGTCACCAATTGCAGAGTGGTTCCGGGCCTGGATGTTTTTGCATCCGCAGCGCCTCATTTGACCCTACCAAGGTTTGGGCACTCGACCGGGATCGTACGACTTACAATGTCAGCGTGCCACATAGAGCACACGCGTTCGCCTCAGGCTTTTCCTCTAAAGGGCACTTCCCAATCCGCCGCGGCAATGCTCAGGTTCCTTCGTTGACTGACACCCAAACCTTCGGGCCCGCCGAGCATGTTTCTCCAAAGCGGTCTGCATGAAACAGAACGAAGCGCACCACGGAACGCAGCTGTAGGCTGTGCCTCGTTTTGCACATCCCGCAGCCCTTCCTGAACAACCCGGACCACCTGGGCGGTATGCGCTTGGGCTTTGGCGCCGCAGGCATGAAGGCCGGCCTTTTGGGCAGGCCCTGTCACACAGCTGCTGCAGCCGAGTGTTTTTTGGAGGACCTGGAGCGGAAGCAGCGACTCGAGCAGATCCTGCAGCACATCGTGGAGATGCAAGGAGCGCTGGGGTGAAGTTTTTTTCGTTGGACGAGACCGGGCGAAAAACGCGTGTACGTTTGACCCACGTTTCTGATGGAGGTCAGTACTGGAGGCAGCCGAAGTGCGCCCAAACTCCGGCCGAGAAAAACATTGGACTGCTTGAACTCTGTTTTTTCTGCAAACTAGGTACGGCGTCGCAGACTACATGCGAAACTCCCGACAGTACAAGGCCAATATGTTTTTTGTTTGCCCTTGGAGCGCTTTGGGCATGAATCCTTGGAGCGTTTCCTTCTGCGTGACGCACTGGAGTGCCCAGGTAGAGTCCAATGTGAGACTGCTTCATGCCACGGGCCCAGCCTCTTTCAACGGAGGTTTCTGTCCTCAGCTGCCTGAGGCCCTGAGTCATCTGGACACCCTCAGCGAAAACACCCGGCGGAGCTCCCGGTGTTTTCTTTCTTCTGCCAGTCAAGTATTTTTTGGAGCTATTTCTGGGGGTCAAAGTCGGAACCTGGTGGGTGGTTTCCCTTTGACCTGCCAGGGTGACTTTGATGGTGAAATAACTGGCCCAGTCAGGGTTCCACTTTTTGACTACCCCAAGATAGACTTAAACCCAGTGGTTCATTCCCTCAAAAGGAGAAACCCTGGGTTTAAGTCTATCTTGGGGTAGTCCAAAAGTGGAGCCCTCCCAGTTCGCACCGAAGCCTGGCCTGAGGCCCGACACCATCGAGTCGGACTTGCAAGGGGAAGTGAGCGAATGCGTGATTTGCCTGGAGCAGGCGCAGCGCCATGAGAAGGACATGGTTTGGTCTGGTAAGAAACAGCCAGCCATGGTTGTTGAGACACATTTTTTTCCCGCTTAAAATGTGGTTCGGTGGTTGAAATTTTCCACTGAACTGCTAAAATTTAAGAACTTTTGCTCCCAGTCTAACGTCCACCAAGAATCAGGGATACCAAAGAACGAAGTCTCAAGCTGAGGGTGACCATCGCCCTTGAGTTGGATTCTCGCTGGAGTTGCTGGAGTTGGCAACGCCTGCACTTCCAAGGGTAGCAAGGGTTAGCGAAGCAATTTTCGACGTTTCTTACTCGCAAGTTGTAAGAGGCAAGGTGCTGCAATATGGATCTGTCTCTTTTTGAGGGTACCCCTTGTTCGGTGGATTTAAAGGGACACCAACAGGACACCAGCCCTTTTGGGGGACCCCCTAAAAAAAGACACCCCCATATGCGACAGAGCAATATATGAAGGATGCGACTCCGCAGGTTTGCAGCGAGTCGCGGCTGGCGTACTTGCTGGCCGCGGGCAAGCTCGGTTGGGTGCTGCTGCCTCGTTAGTCGGACTCACGCCACAAGCTCGTCGGCTCGCTGCTTTGTTCGGCTGGTCCATTTGTGCTGTTGGTCCACAAGCGTCTGCCAACCCATTGAGTTGGGCAAGCACATTGAATGCATCGAAGCTTGGCGCTGCTCGCCGCGTTTTTTGACCAGAGTGTCACATGGAATCAGATTCGTATAGCTGAGGGTTGTCTAGATTGATCACGAGGTTAAACAGGTGATACCAGAGCCAAGTGTCAAACCAGATTGGCACGTGTCTTCCAGTCGGGTCTTTTTTGCACAGGCTTGCAGGCACATCTTCCATTTGGAATGTGCTCAGCAGCTGGCCACACGCAAGTGCCCGGTGTGATCGCATCTTAGAACTTCATAGGTTCATGCACGAATGGCACGTTTTTGGATTCTAATGTATGTTCACCAATGCGCCTCAAGGTCGGTCGAGCTTCAGCGAAGTCCGCGAGATGCCTGATATCCGCCACAGCCTACTGCCCCAGCATGTGCCAGAGAGAGAGAGAGAGAGAGAGAGAGCGAGTTGAATGAGAAGGGAATGGGGCGAGAGTCAGTGCAGTGCAGCACGCCAAGATCCTGGAGCTTGGTTCGACGCCATGGACGTGGATCGAACAGGGGATTTGGACTTGGACGAGGTCCTAGGGGCTTTGGCTCTACCCTCGGCGCATTTTCCTATTTGGGTGTGGCTCAAAATTAAACAGGAGGGGCAAACGGCAGGTTTTGGTCCACGTTTCCACTTGCCAGGGCAACCCATTTTGGCACCGGTTTTTTGAGCAACACCCATTTTTTCGGCGCAGCGGGAGAGCAAATCCAGCTGTACCGAGTCCGTAGTTCTGCCCATCGATCGCGACAAGCTGGAGCTGTTGCTGCGGCCAGAGAACGAGGCACGTCCAGCTGAGAGTCAGCCATATGGCTGTGGGTCAAAACCAATGGTAACGTTTTGGGATAGGTGAATTCACCACCCATTTTAGAACCTATTTTAGTGGGGATTGGGATGTTCACTGGGGGTACGGGGTTTTGACCCATGGCCATATGTTGCCTTTGCGGAGGCTCCCACAGAAGCCATCCTCAATGACACCGTGGCGCATGAGAGCTCAATCCTCGACAGCTGCTCAGCAGAATTGTTCCCGGCCCTCGAGTTCATCAGCCAAGTG